ACACACACACACACACACACACACACACACACGACACACACACACACACACACACACACAACACACACACACACACACACACACACACACACACCGCTTGGGCTCGTGCGACGATGGCTGCAGTGCGCTGCTCAATTTCATTGTTGAGACGAAGATAGTCTGCTTCGCTCTGCTGGGCATTCCCTTCCTGGGTCTTCGCCGCGCCGCTCGTGTACGGTCGCACACTGGACCGCACCCCTCCCCGCGACGACGGCGGCACAGGCTGCCGCTGTATGGCGGGCGCTGTCCTCAGCCGTCCGCCAGATGCTGCCGTTGGCAACCCACGACTACGGGAGCCGTTACTCCTTTCGCCCCGTCGCAAAGCCATTTTGCTGTTTTGTTGTTTGTTGTGTGTGGACGATGGATTTGTGGTTTGATTGATTTGATTGACAGAAGTCTGCGTCGGCCACACAGCTGCTTTGTATTGTTGCGCTTCATGTACGACTGCTGGGCAATGGTGGTGGGCAATGGTCGTCCCGACCTCGCTTCCGACACACTGCGTACATGCGTGTACATGCGCACACATGCGTCAAGCACACACCCTCGTTCCCTCGCAATGGCAACAACGACAACCAGCAACTCAGGCAACAAGCACCAAAGCAACAACCACGGCAACAACCAAGACAACCGCCACGCTCAGGGCTCATGAGAAGCGGATCCACCCTGCGCGGTGGGCGGTGAACGTGGCAGCAGCGAGGGCGAGGAAGGCGATGGTGTTGTGCAGGACTTTGCGGGCGCTGTCGTCGCGCCTGACAAGGACGGTTGCCTCTGCGCCTGGTGCAAGGAACTGGCAGACAATGGGCGGGCTGCTGCGGTCCTTGTGGACCTGGTATTTGCAGAGGAAGTCACGCTGCCAGTCGAGGTCGTATGCGAGGGCGCACGTGACGCTGAGCCCCAGGAGGCCCAGTGCCGGTATTCTCAGTCGATTTGCGCTTGTGCCAATGAGTCCGCCCAAGCCAGCTAGCACCGCGGTTTTGTGAAACGTGTTTCCCAACGCAATGGCCCTGCGGTGTTGCGTCCGCATCAAAGCGGTGGAAACGAGAGAGTGTGTGTGTGGGGGGGGGGTCAGTGCAGCGTATGAGCGTGTATGTGTGAGTGAGTGAGAGTGTATGTGTATGTGTATGTGAGTGTGGGGGGTGAGTGTGTGAGTGGTGAGCAAACAACAACAACTTAAACAACAACAACTTAAACAACAACAACAATTTATGTTAACAACAACAACAACAACAACAACAACTTATGTTAACAACAACAACAACAACAACAACAACAACAACAACAACAACAACAACAACAACAACAACAACAACAACAACAACAACAACAACAACTTAAACAACAACTTAAACAACAACTTAAACACAACTTCAACAACAAAACAACTTCAACAACATATTAAACAACAACAACAACAACTTAAACAACTTAAACAACACCAACAACTCATGTTAAACAACAACAACAACAACAACAACAACAACAACAACAACAACTTAAACAACACCACCACCACCAACAACAACAACAACAACAACTTCAACAACAACTTAAACAACAACTTAAACAACAACTTAAACAACAAATCAACTTCAACAACAACTTAAACAACAACTCAAACAACAACTTAAACAACAACAACAACAACAACTCAAACAACCACTTAAACAACAACAACTTAAACAACTCAAACAACAACAACAATACACAAACACAAACGCAAACACACGCACGCACCTCTGAGCAACGCCTGCTGTGCCAAAGTCCGTGATTGCAATTTCGTCTGCGGCTTGGAGCGCAGCCTGTGTGAGGGATGTGCGCTGTGCAACTGCCAGCAGCAAGCGCCGTGACGCCGTTGCGTCCTCGCCCTTGCCGCCAGTCGTTGATCTGTTCTTCTTCTTCTTCTCCTCCAACCACGAAGTCATCCACTGTGCCTCCTCAAAATCCTCCTCCTTGTCGTCAAACCGGTCCACCACAGCAACGCGATACAGCTCCTCCTCCTCCTCCTCCTTCCCTTGGCTGTGCCCCTCCTCCCTCTGGCTTTGCCCCATGGTGTGCGCTTGTGTGCTTGTGTGTGTGTGTGTGCTTGTGTGTGTGTGTGTGTGTGTGTGTGTGTGTGTGTGTGTGTGTGTGTGTGTGTGTGTGTGTGTGTGTGTGTGTGTGTGTGTCTGCGTCTTGTCTTGCTCGTCGTTGCAAACCCCCGAAAACGAAATTGGCGGACCGCTCACAACACCACATTGTGTAGCAATTTCTGTAGTTGCAGCAATCTACAGCACATTGAGTAGTTCACATCATCTGTGGTCTTCGTTTTTTGTGCAGTCCACCATCCACGTTGCGCACACGCCATCCACTCTCATCTCGCACAATCGAAGAAACTCACCTTGCTTCTTCTTGCTTGGTGCAGGAGAAACACCCACCCACACACACACACACACACGTACTGGCTGGTAGCTGGAAAGGTAGGTAGATCGATACAAAGAAGCAAGAAGGCAAGAAGGCAAAGGAAAGGCAAACAAGCAGCAGCTCTCTTGTCCAACCAACACAGGTGTGCGCATGTGTATTTCTTCTGTCCACCATCCATTTTGGCTTCTGCTTTCCTTTTTCTTCTCTCTTGTTCTTCTTCTTGTTCTTCTTCTTGGCTCTTGTTCTTGTTGTTCTGGGCGTGAGTTCATTTTCCCTTCGCGACATCGGCCACTGCTCACCCCCCAGCGCGACCACAACCAACCAACGACCGCGACAAACAACAACTGCAACTCCAGATACAACCCGCAAAGATGGCGGCGAAGCATGTGGAGGAGACAACGGCGGCCCTGCGCGCCTTGTTGGAGGAGCGCATCATGTTCTTTGATGGCGGCATGGGCACCATGATCCAACAGCTTTCGCTGCAGGAGAAAGACTTCCGAGGTTAGTTTGCGTCTTTCTTTTTGTTGTTATCCCTTTTCTTCCTTTTTCTTCCTCCAAACACCACAGCCACCTAGCCAAAGACGCCACCAGCTCCCAGCTCCCAGCACCAGCACCAGCACCAGCAGCAAGCAATACCAGGCCCAAGGTGCACGCTCCGAGGACGCGTTGTTGCATCGACAAAAGGAGGACGCGCCTCTCGCCCGCTTCCGCTTCCGCTGCACTGCACACACACACACACCCTTACCCTCCCTTCCCTTACCCTCCTTTCACATGCCAACCGCGTGTTGTGTTGTCCCTGCTCCTCGATCCTGATGATGATGACCCTGATGATGAATGGTGGTGACCCTGATGATGACGATGCTCATGCTGCTGCTGATGATTTTGATGCTGCTGACCATCGTGGTCACGATGATTCAATTGTGACCTGCTGCTGATGATGAACCTTTCTCCAAACAACAACAACAACAACAACAACAACAACAACAACAACAACAACAACAACAACAACAACAACCCAAACACACGCTGTGCCCTGTCTATTGCGTAGGCGAGCTCTTCAAGGAGCACCCCAAAGCGTTGCAAGGAAACAACGACTTGCTCGTGCTGACCCAGCCGGAGGCCATTGTCAACATCCATAAGCAGTTTCTGCTTGCTGGCGCGGACTTTGTGGAGACCAACACCTTCAGCTCCACGCGCATCGCCCAGGCCGACTACGCCACGGAGGATCACGTGTACAAGCTCAACGTGGAGGCGGCCAAGCTCGCCAAGCGCGCCTGCGAGGAGGTGGAGGCGCAGGGCCACGGCCGCAAGTTTGTTGCCGGGTCGCTCGGCCCCACCAACCGCACGCTGTCCATCTCACCCTCTGTCGAGCAGCCGGAGCTGCGCAACGTCAAGTTTGACGAGCTGGTGGAGGCGTATGCCGAGCAAGCACGCGGGCTCATGGACGGCGGCGTGGACGTCCTCCTCGTCGAGACCATCTTCGACACGGCAAACGCAAAGGTTCGAAGTGGAGGCGGAATAACGTTGTTTTTGCGCGTGTGCGTGTGCGTGCTTGTGCATGTACGCATGTGTATGCGCACGCGTATGTGTGTGTGCGTGCGTACCTTGGTTTTTTTTTTGAGTCCCTTCTCACACCCTCACGCGCACCTTCCCTATGCACCTTTCCCATCTTTTTCGCCCGCCTGCAGGCTGCGTTGTTTGCTGTGGAGAAGCTGTTTGAGGACGAGCCCGAGAAGTACCCGCGGCGGCCCATCTTCATCTCCGGCACCATCACAGACCGCTCTGGCCGCACACTCTCTGGCCAGACGGCCGAGGCGTTCTCCATCAGCGTCAGCCATGGCCGCCCAATGGCCCTCGGCCTCAACTGCGCTCTCGGCGCAACCGACATGCGCCCTTACCTCGAGGAAATTGCAAAGACCACAGGTGTGTGTGTGTATGCCTGTGCCTGTGCATGTTTATGTGTGTGTGTGTGTGTCTTTGCCTTTGTTGCTCAGCAGTCGTGTTGCTCGCACTCTGCAGTTGCGTTATCTGCGCTGAGTTTTTTTTCTTTGTGCATCGTGCGTGTGGGCAACCTGTGTCGTTTGCCAACACCTCTTGCCTCCACCTTCCTCACCTCCCAACTCCTCACCACGCTTCCTTGTGCACAGACGCGTACATCATTTGCTACCCGAACGCTGGTCTTCCCAACGCCATGGGCGGATATGACGAGACACCCGACATCACAGGCTCGCACCTCGCAGACTTTGCTCGCAGTGGCCTCGTCAACATTGTCGGTGCGTCCATGCACGCCAATTCGACTCGATTTTATCAACTCCCCCAGCGCCAGTGCCATGCTACGTTGCCATGCATTCATTGCACATGGTCCCTCAACACGCCACTCTCTCTCTGTCTCTCTTTGTCTTGCCTGCCGCGCTCTTCCTCAATTGACTGATACACTTACTGACCAACCAAACTGACACACACACACACCCTTCTCTTTCTCACCGCAGGCGGTTGCTGCGGAACAACGCCAGCCCACATTGCGGCCATTGTCAAAATGTGCTCCTCGTTCCCTCCGCGACAGCGCCCTCCCGTACGTTGCACACCACACCACACACACGCACACGCACGCACGCACGCACACTGTTAATCGACCCCCCAAACTCACTCTCTCGCCCCCCCCCCGCCCACACACACACACACACACACACACACTCACTCACTCACTCACTCACTCACCGCCCCATTTCTCCCTCCCCCCCCCCGGCAACACAAACGACAGAAGCCGTTTGCAGACCACATGCTGCTGTCTGGGCTGGAGCCGGCGCGCATCGGGCCCGACACCAACTTTGTCAACATTGGGGAGCGGTGCAACGTCGCTGGCTCGCGGCGGTTCTGCCGCCTCATCAAGACGGACGAGTACGACGAGGCGCTGGCCGTGGCCAAGCTGCAGGTGGAGAATGGCGCGCAGATCCTGGACATCAACATGGACGATGGTCTGCTGGACGGCGTCAAGGCTATGACCAAGTTCTGCAACCTGATTGCGTCCGAGCCGGACATTGCCAAGGTGCCGCTGTGCATCGACTCGAGCGACTTTGCCGTGGTGGAGGCCGGGCTCAAGTGCACGCAGGGCAAGTGCATTGTCAACAGCATCTCGCTCAAGAGCGGGGAGGAGGAGTTTATCAAGGTTGCGCGCACCATCCGCCGCTACGGCGCTGCGGTGGTGGTGATGGCCTTTGACGAGAAGGGCCAGGCCGCCGACCTGGAGGGAAAGATCCGCATCTGCACGCGCTCGTACAAGATCCTGGTGGAGAAGGTTGGCTTCAACCCCAACGACATCATCTTCGACCCCAACATCCTCACCATTGGCACGGGCATTGAGGAGCACAACGAGTATGCAATAAACTTTATCAACTGCATCCGCCCCATCAAGGAGCAGTGCCCCGGCTGCCACATCTCGGGCGGCGTGTCCAACCTCAGCTTCTCCTTCCGCGGCATGAACGTCGTGCGCGAGGCCATGCACTCGGTCTTCCTCTACCACGCCATCCAGAAGGGGATGGACTTTGGCATTGTCAACGCCGGCGCCATGCCCATCTACTCGGAGATTGACCCAAAGCTCGTTGAGCTGTGCGAGAACATCATCTGGAACAAGCACCCCAACGCCACGGAGGAGCTCCTCACATATGCCCAGGAGCACGGCAAGGAGGCAAAGACAAAGAAGCAGGACGACTCGTGGTGCGTTGGCTTTGATCGTGCGCACATGGTGGCGCTTGCAATCTTGTTTGTCGCTGTTTAAGAAGTAGTTTAAGTAGTAGTAGTAGTAGTAGTAGTAGTAGTAGTTGTTGTTGTTGTTGTTGTTGTTGTTGTTGTTGTTGTTGTTGTCGCTCATTGCATTTGCGTGCGCGGGTGCTTGTATTGCTGCTTGTGTCGTTTTCAAAGACGCGTGCTTTGTTGCAATGCGTGCTGTGTTGCACTGTGTGCTGTACTGCGTTGCGACTCCACCTCGCCTCCGCCACGCGCCGTATTACCCTTTTGTACCACTTCTCCACTCACCACACACACACGCGCGCGCACATTCACACACACACACACATTCACATACGCACACACGTTGATGCATGACATACACAGGCGCGATGCCCCCGTTGAGAAGCGGCTGGAGCATGCGCTGATCAAGGGCATTGACAAGTTTGTGGTTGCGGACACGGAGGAGGCACGGCAGAACACGGCGCTGTACCCGAAGCCGCTCAACGTCATTGAGGGCCCGCTCATGGCCGGCATGAGCATTGTCGGCGATCTGTTTGGCGCTGGAAAGATGTTCCTGCCGCAGGTGATCAAAAGCGCGCGCGTGATGAAGAAGGCGGTGGCGCACCTGATTCCGTTTATGGAGGAGGAGCGCGAGGCATCGCTGCGGGCGCAGGGCATTGACCCGGAGGTGGCCGACGAGAGTGACATGTACAACGGCACCGTCGTCATTGCAACCGTCAAGGGCGACGTGCACGACATTGGCAAGAACATTGTTGCCGTCGTGCTGGGCTGCAACAACTTCAAGGTGGTTGATCTCGGTGTCATGGTCCCCGCCAACAAGATCCTGGAGGCCGTGGACAAGCACAAGGCGGACATTGTCGGCCTCTCTGGCCTCATCACCCCCTCGCTGGATGAGATGGTGTTTGTGGCCAAGGAGCTTGAGCGGACCGGCCACAAGCTGCCGCTGCTCATTGGTGGCGCCACCACCTCCAAGATGCACACCGCCGTGAAGATTGCGCCCAAGTACTCGTCGCCAACAGTTCACGTGCTCGATGCCTCTCGCAGCGTCGTCACCGTCTCCGCCCTCCTCGACCAGGTACACACATCTCTACTGGCGCGCCTTCATGTCCCTTTGCACCTGTCTATGTGTGTTTTGTGTCTTTGTGTGTATTTTGTGTGTGCGTGTGGCTTTGTCTCCGTACGCGCGTGTGCGTGTGCGTGTGCATGTGCGCCTGTTGTCATGTGAAACTCCTCTTCATGCCCATCGCCCAATTATGCTCGCTCACCCACACGCACATCGCGCATCACACATGGCAGGGGAACCGGGAGGACTTTGTTGAGGACATTGCTGAGGAGTATGAGGAAATTCGCGAGGAGTACCTCGAGTCGCTCACCGACCGCGTCTACCTCTCCCTCGACGCAGCCCGCAAGCAGCGGTTCGCCATTGACTTTAACAAGAAGCCGCCCGTCAAGCCTGCCATGACTGGCGTCAAGGTGCGTTACCGTCCTGTCACTGGGTTGTTTGTTTGTTTGTTTGTTTGTTTGTTTGTTTGATTGTTCCCTTGTTTGTTCCTTTGTTTGTTTGTTCGTTCGTTCGTTCGTACGTCTGCCACTATTGCTCCTCCTCCTCCTCCTCCTCCTCCTCCTCCTCCTCCTCCTCCTCCTCCTCCTCCTCCTCCTCCTCCTCCTCCTCCTCTAGCGTTTGCCACACCCCCACGCACTGCTGCTGCTCTCCTCTGACACCAATCCTCCGTTGCCCGCTTGTACAGGTCATCGAGAGCCTTGATCTTGAGCGCTGCATCAAGTACATTGACTGGAAGCCCTTCTTCGAAGTCTGGCAGCTGCGAGGTGAGCCTGCACACCTGCAAGCGTTGCCTTTGCACTCGTCGACCACTCCTGACCTGTGTACATGCGCTTGCTCAACAGTTGCCACAACATAATCGTCCAACACACTGGCTCCTCGCTCGCTTCTCACTCATTTCATGGCCATCCCCATAAACCCCTTCCCCCTCCCCCCCCCACCACACACACGCGCGCGCTTCTTTGCATTCCTCGTTGCCTTTTCCCTCTGCCAGGCCGCTACCCCAACCGCTCTTACCCCAAGATCTTTGACGACGAAGCTGTGGGTTCAGAGGCAAAGAAGGTCTTTGATGACGCACAGGCCCTGCTCAAGCGAATCGTTTCCGAGAAGCTCCTTCGTGGCAAGGTGCCGTCTTGTTGTATGTTTGTGACTGGGATCATTTCCGTGTGTCTGACTATGTGTGTGTGTGTGTCTGTCTGTCTGTCTGTTTGCATGTGTGTGTGTTTGCATGTGTGTGTCTACCTTTCCTTGCCGCCGTGGGTCCTCTTTCTTCTCTCACGTGGCTTTGATTGGGGTCCTCACGCTTGCGTGTCAACAGGGAGTGTTTGGCATTTTCCCTGCCAACACCGTCGGCGACGACATTGAGATTTACGAGGACGAATCCCGAACCACCGTCAAGGAAACGTGAGCTCACACTTGGGTTGTTGGCTCTTTGTCTGTGACTTCCTTGCCCGCACACGCACACACACACACACACGCACACACACACACACACACACACACACACACACACACACACACACACACACACACACACACACACACAAAACACGCAGCTTACGTCACCCCACCGCATGTCCACACGCCACACCTTGCAGGCTCTACGGTCTTCGTCAGCAGGCGGAGAAGGTGGACAAGACAGACCCTTACTTCTGCCACTCCGACTTCATCGCACCAAAGGAGAGCGGCATTGCCGACTACATTGGCATGTTTGCCGTGACGTGCGGCCTCGGTGCAGATGAGCTCTCGAAGCAGTTCCTCAACGACCATGACGACTACAACTCCATCATGGTCAAGGCCCTGGCCGACCGGCTGGCAGGTGCGCACACTTCATTCAATATTCTGACGCGCCTTCCTGCAAAACACACACACACGCACGCGCACGTGCACACAATTTGACACAACCCTCAAACACCTCCCTCTACCTCTTTTGCAAATGACAGAGGCGTTTGCCGAGATGCTGCACGAGGATGTGCGCCGAAAGTACTGGGCATACGCAACCGACGAAGGGTTCACAGCAAAGGAACTCCACCAGGTGTGTGTGTGTGTGTGTGTGTGTCTGCGTCTGTGTGGTTGCTTAAGTTTCCCGTGTATCATTTTTGTTTCGCTGTTCGCTTTGTTGCCCCACATGCCCTCCCTGGACCATGTCAATGCTCCTCTCACCCGCATCTCCCCCCCCCCCCTGTTGGCAATCTAAACACAGCTCAAGTATGCCGGTATCCGCCCTGCTCCCGGGTACCCGTCGCAGCCGGACCACACAGAGAAGGAGGCATACTGGCGCCTGCTCGATGCAGAGGCAAACGCAGAGATGAGCCTGACCGAGTCGTTCTCCATGATGCCTGCGGCCAGCGTGTCTGGCCTCTACTTTGCACACCCAGACTCTGAGTACTTTGCCGTGGGCAAGATTGACCGGGACCAGGCTGCCGACTACGCCAAGCGCAAGGGCAGCGACCTGCAGACAGTTGAGCGCTGGCTGGCTCCCATCCTCAGTTACGACCCCGATGAGAGCCAATAGTGCACACACACACACACACACACACACACACACACACGCACACACACACACACACACACACACATGAGTGTGCACTTGCACACACACACACACACCTTTTCCGCTTTCATCCGTGTATGTTTGATGTTACGCACGCCGTCTAGCCTTCCAGCCCCAGTCTTTGTTGTGTTTCCACGTCATTCGTTGTAGCTTGTCACACCTTTGTTGTGTTGATGTTCTTACCCAGCAGCGAGTGGTTACGGTTGATTGTAGCTTGGGTTGGCACCCTGGTGTGCTTTCTTTTGGTGGGGACGTGCTTACTGTCTTGTTCCTCCGACCCATTTAGATTCGTGTTTGCTGTATGCGTGCGTGCATTTGACCTCTCCGAGCGTGTGTGAGTTGGGATTTCGTCTGGCAATCGCATGTTGGTGGTGGCGGCTTTGTCCTTTCGTGCTCCCTGACCTTCTCCTTGACGCTTCCATAGTTTACAGCATTCTCACGCAATACAAGCACCCACTCGCCATACACTTGTCACGAACGACGACAGGGAGGGGAAGGACTGTGTCAGTGCTTTGAACTGTCACACACACACACACACACACACACACAACACACACACACCACACACACAGCATGGCATCAGATGGTTGTACATGTAGCGGTGACGAGCTTAATGCCAATGTCTGTCGTGTCTGCACGCCCAAGCTTCGACACAAGTTCTGGGATGGACGCCGCCCACACCGTACTCGTCTCCAGGCGCACTTGGCCTGCAAATGCATGCGCGCATGTGTCGTGGGCACGGCCATATCTCATGCGTGAGGCTGCGCGCTTGCACAGTGCCGGTACGAGTGGTAGCGACATGCAGGAACCAACACAAGAAACCAGTAGTCACACGGCACTCACGCTGCTCGCCAACACCCCAGCACCCAATTCCCGCTCCCCTTTCATCCCTTGTACGCTCTGCTCGCTGTTCTCACCATTCCGCTTGACGATGCCGCGGGTGGTCACTTTGTGGTTGGCGTTGACAAACGTCAGCTCGCCAGCAACGGAACGCCTGTCACTCGCATGCACGAGGAAGTTGCCAGGTCGTCCAAGCGTGCTCAGCTGAGCCTGAATCAACGCGATGCGAACACAACGGGTGTCGCGTGAACAGCAACCATTGCGTGAGGAAGGTGAAGTTAAGGAAGTTAGAAGTGCACACAGGTGTTCATGCACAACAATAACAGAGCAACCGCCGTGCCACCACACCCCTACCACCACCATGCTCGTGTAACAACAACCCCCGTTGCCACACGCACCACTGCCTCGGCCTTGGCCATGTCGGGCTGAAACCACGCAAACACCGTCGTCCACGCATGCTCAGTGCGGTCCTCTACATCATCGTGTTGTTGTTGTTGTTGTTGTTGTTGTTGTTGTTGTTGTTGTTGTTGTTGTTGTTGTTGTTGTTGTTGTTGTTGTTGTTGTTGTTGTTGTTCCGAATGCTCGAGTGCATATGAGCGTCGACTTGACACGCTGCTGCTGGATGTGCGACGCGAGCCAAGACCTCGCCGTGCACTGCCATCATGCTGCTGTTCTTGCTGTTGTTGACGTTGAGGTGGTGAGTTGTGTTGTGACATGGATTGCGTCAATGCGTTGCTACTCTGCGATGTGCTCAGGTGTCCGCCCGAACTGTGGCGCGACAGTGCAGCTGTTTACGACGCAGGCAAGTGTGTGTGTGTGTGTGTGTGTGTGTGTGTGTGTGTGCATCCACAAAGGCGTGTGATGATTGCAGTTCAGTGAGTACCTGAGTGGATGGAAACGGTTACAACGATGAACGCAGCAGCGAAACAAACGAACATACACGCAAGTATGCATGCACGCATTCGCGTGGTGCGGCACCTGCACCCCTCTATCCCCCTTCCCCCAACACACACACGTTGACGCACAAGAAGCGACGGATGAGTCGGAGTTGCTGATTCGCTTCAGTCGCTGCCCATCGTCACTGCCTTCTTCAAACTCCCAGTTGCCGTCAGGGTGTTGCTCCTGCAAGCAATGGAACATGTATACACAAAAGCAGCCAAGGTGATATCATCGTGCCTTGTACGGTGTGGTGCAGCAGCGAACACGCGCGCAACATGCACAAGCAGGCTGCAAAACACTCAACAATGCTCCCAAACAAGCAATGAGCACCTGCAGGCCGTAGTTCCATGGATCCGTGTCGGGATTGCGGAACCTGCAATGTTTTCAGGCATCCATAAGGTTAGCCCAAGTCCTTCTGCATGACCTCAACGGCCTGGCCACCACACACACACACACACACACACACACACACACACACACACACACACACACACACACACACACACACACACACACACACACACACACACACACACGCACGCACACCCCGCTACTCCTACCACAACACCTTCGACTTCTCCCATCACCACCTCCCTTGGCACCGCCTCCCATGCACATGATGATACGCACCGATCGAGGGCAATGAGGGGCACAGGAAAGTAGTGTGTTGGCTTTGAGTAGTGGGCAACAAACTGGCGAAGGTTGTCAAACACCAGCGTCGGTACGCGTTCCAGGAACACCCCTGCCACAACACCACAATGCCAAACCCACATCGTACACACACACACACACATACATACACACGCACACACACACATACACACGCACACACACACACACGTTCACACAAAGTTGGTGTGAGTCTCATTCTCAAGTGTGCAACGATGACGCTTGCATGAGCCGGCGATATCACATCACCGCACCTGACGCCCCAGACGTCTCCATGTGTCCGATGTACTCGTCGTAGACGGTGTTCTTGAACGCGTACGACAACACCATCGCCTGCTTGCGTGATGACAACCGGACCATAAATGCACCATCAGGCAATCCTATCGTGATGCAGCGGCGCAACAATGTGTGATGACAATGTTGCTGTGTTGATGAGTTGACAACAAGTGGCTGTGGTCTTACCTACACCCCGGCGTGCGGACCGAATCAACAAAGGGCGATCGAGACGCAGACAAGATTTTGTGATACACGCAAGCACACACACACACGCAAGCACACACACACACACACACACACACCGCACCTGCAAGCATGAGGTGGGCGTCCACCCTGGAGGCGTGGGGCTGCAACCAGATTGGATACTTGGGGTGTGCTGGCTTCCTCCGTTGTTGCTGTTGTTGTTGTTGTTGTTGTTGTTGTTGTTGTTGAGGATGATCTATCTCTGCCAGCAGGCTGTTGACGATTGCCTCATCATCGACATTGCCCTCCTGGACGTTGGACACGTGGTCGATACTGAGAGGCACTTCATCGTCAATAAACTCGGCATCCCCAAGACCAGACAACACGTCGCTGCTGTCGTCAGCACTGCCATGACCGTTGTCAACGCTGTCACTGGCAACGTCATCGATATCGTCAGCTCCATCGGCATTGCTGCTGTGGCGGCTCAGATCCACGTTGCTTGTGTTCTTGTCTGCCTCTGTGATGGTTCGGTCGTTGTCGTTGTCAGTGCGGCAGCTGCGCTCGCTGCCGTTGCGATGCAGCACAGTGTCTGTCGACTCGCCGTCGCTCGTGCTGCCCGTCGTCAGCGGCTGGAACATGCTGCGCAACTTCTGTGATGTGGGCGTTGTCGTTCCTTCTGACAGGGAGGCAAGCGGTGTGCGGTTCGGGCTGTGTGTGCTTGAAGATGAAACCCCAGTTATGCCGAGTTGGCTGAGCAGCGAGGAGAGCCCCACGCTGTCCTCGCTTTGCCTGCGGCTCGCACTCACGCCCTCCCTGTCCTCTTTCGCGCCGTCCACATCATCATCCTCATCGCTGTTCCGTGCATCATCGGCGGGATCAAAGCCAGACAGCAGCAACAGCTTGTTCTGCATGCGCCGCAGGTCTCCGGGCTTGAGTGTGCTTGGCGCCTGCTTGGCGCGCACGGGCCGGGGAACACGAATCACAACAGCCCCGTCGCCAGGTGCTGTGTGTTGCGTACTCCCCGTGCTGTGTGGGCCATCCCTGTTCTGCTGACCACCGTCGTTACCACTGGCGTTGCCGCTCCTGCCGCTGCTCGCTGACGCGTTCGCCCCGCTCTCGCTGATGACGGAGATGCGGCGGTCCGTTTCTCCGCCCACAGGCCGGCCCCCACGTCCAGTACGCCCGCCACCACGTGCACCCACCTCCTGCTGCAGCTGCAGCTGCTGCGGCTGATGGTTTGCCACGTGGAAGTGGTAGCTCGCCCGCCGCATGCGCCGCTGCTCCCGCGCTTCTGCGGGCTGCATCACCAGCGTCGAGTGGCGCCGCGTTGCCGACTTGGACGACGATGGGGCGTGCGGCCCAATATGCGAGTGCGATGACCCGCGCATCATCACTTTCGGTGCGTTTGCGTGCCCGGCGTGGTGCTGCTGTCCGTGCGGCTGCTGTTGCTGTTGCTGTTGCTGGCCGTACCAGCTGTATGGGCGGCTGCGGCGCGGTGGCTGTCGCAGGGCTTGCTCCGACCGTCGATGGGGCGATGGCGCGGCAATGGAGCGCGCTGGAGACGGCTCTGCCTGGCGGGGGCCGCTGGACACGCCACGCGCAGCATGCACTGCCGACGGTGAAGATACTCCACTCGAGTAACCAGCGTGAGCTGATGCGAGGGACGTGACACTGGGATCGCGGGGACTGGCATGACCGCTGCTTGTGCTGTTTTTCCAGTGCACAGGGCGGCCTGGCTGATGTGCACCGACACGCCCGGCATGCACGCCGCTGCCGGCAAAATGGTGTTGGGACTGATGGAAGACTTCCCCTTGCCTCCCAGGACTCACGCCGCGCGACCCTGCACTGGAGAACGAGGAGTGCGTGCTTGGCGTCCTGAACTGGGCGGTCGGTACGCCAGCCACGCTTGCGCGCCTTTCGCGCTGCTGTGTATGCCTTGCAGCAAAATGCACCGCCGAGTGATAACGTGGGAAGTGATGCTGCGGAAAGTGGTGGGTGTCGCCAGGGTGGTGATGTGTAAAGCTTGTGGAGGCTGGTGGCGTGTGCCGCTGTGACGGCAGCTGAATCATGCTGTGTGGCCGCGCAAATCCGGGGCTCCCACGCGTCGCAAAACCGGCGACACTCGCGGTGTGTGGACGATGTGGCGATGCCACCGTCATCGGTGATGCCTGCATCTGTGTGTGTGTGTGCGAGAGTGTGTGTGTGTGTGTGAGTGAGCGAGTGAGTGAGTGAGTGAGTGAGTGAGAGAGAGAGAGAGAGAGAGAGGGGGAGAGAGAGAGGGGGGGTAAAGAGAGGGAGAGAGGGAGAGAGAGAGGGGGGGGGGTAGGGGAGTTCGTGTTTTGTGGGTGAGTGAGAAGGGATGTGAATGTTGCGCTTGACAGGGTGTTCTTGTGTCGAGCGAAATGGGTTGGAGTCAGCAGTAGCAGTGCCCAACCCTCAGGATGGGTGGATGCAGATGCTCAAGACCATGCCACCGCCCAGACATGCGTACCATGGACGAGCTGAGGTATTCCATGATACGCGACGAGATGTTGTCACAGAAGGCTTCCGCCTGTGTTGCCAGAGCCGGCGCAAGAATCGTTGTGAACAGGTGGTCCATGAGCGTGACACGACCAGAACGTGAGCACATGCTCATGGTGACGACGCACACACAAAATACGAGCGCGCGCACACGCCCTCTCGCTGGCTCTTTCGGGAGGCGACATGACGTACCTCAGCTTCTGATGGCAACAAGAGGACGTTGCATCTGTGTGTACTTGTTGCGTTGGTTCGGGGAAAGAACACGCCCACGCGCTCGCCAATGTTCACGCACAATGATACCTGTGGTTCAGTCACACCATGCTCAGTGAGTGAATGACTCGCGGTGGAATCAAACATCTAGCAGTGCAGCTGTGCGAGAAACGCGTGCAACTCGCACACGCACGCCCAGGTGCAAGGAGAGGCATGCACACGCGAGAGTACACTCTCGCGTACACTCAGGCACACGTCCAAGCATGCCATCATTGGGCACAGAACCAAGAGGCCTCCAACCAACCTTCTTGGTTGGAAGAGACCACACTGCATGGGAGCCGCTGCGAAGTGTCACGGCATGCGGCGCAACCTGGTATGGGAAATGGCAAGCAGGTAAACGGCCGCAACGGTCAGAAGTGTTCAGAGAATGCTCGTGCAATATGACAATCTGCCTCAACCACGGTACTCCAAACCGTCGTCTTGCATCAACCATGTAACTACACTCAATTGCAGTGTGTGTGTGTGTGTGTGTGCTGTGCGTGTGTGTGTGCCGTACATTGCGTCACTACGTAACTTACCAAACAGGAGACTTGTTGTGTGAGGTTCTGCAGTGCAGCAAACAACCGTGGACGCAACAAACGTTCCACGCGTGAGTGAACGAACAGGCTTGTCATGTCAAGCAAGAGAGAAGAAGCGTGGTGCTGGCTGGTCAAGTGGTGTGTTTGTGGCATCGCACAACTGCGCGGTAAACGTGAAAGGCCATGTGTGTTCACTTCATGTCGTACAGGAAGTGGCATTCTCCGTGGTTGTGGCTGGCGTTTGCTTACAGAGGGTGATAGATTTGCCAAAGCAACTTCGAGATCGGAGTGCGTGGGCTCCCCTTGAATCACCAGGTCGGTCCATCCTTCAAAGACGCAAGTGGCAACAAACACCGCTGACGCGCTCATGGCTTCACTGTCTACAGATGACACAGGGTGCGAAGTGTTGCGTGGGATGTGAGCGTGTGCGTCACACAGGTTTGTGCAGACAAGCATGTCATGGTGACCAATTGAAGCTACAAGACCAAACACACTCGAGCCGACCCATGTATCCGGGTCACAAGAACCCATCAGAAGTGTAGGAAAGGACATGAAGAATGGCAGTGCTAACGACTGTGCAGATAGCCGTACTTCAGGTACGCCGGTCACGCTCCTTGCCTACTGGCTGGATATGCGCAACAAACTGCCGGCAATTTGAGGTTTGAAGGGCTGCGAGCTCGCACCACCACCACAGCCCAAAGCAGTACACCCACCTCCAGTCTACACAGTTGAGGTTCACCACTTGATGTGAATGAAGATGGAGGCTTTTGATATCGGTACCAACGCAATAGGCCAACAGCCGCACACACACAAACTGACCAACCACAGCACACCTTCAATGCTCTCTTCTTCTCTTGCTTCTTGCTGGCAGTGGTTGAAAGTGGTTTTCCCGCGAAATGGGGCGCACAGAAATGCTGTCGAGATGTGTACAAATTTTCAGCAGAGACGATACTGTAGTTGCAGGGCTGATTGCCTTGCTTGCTTACAGTAGTGCGACAAGCAGGTGTTGTGATCACGGAGGCATGAAATGAATGTCAGGTGCGGCAGGGTGCTGTCGAGTTCACGATCAGCAGCTCGCCTGGTGCGAGAACTTTGCAAGCTCCTGCTCCACAGCCTGTTTGACTTTCTGTGGATTGGCCTTTCCTTCTGCGTGTGTGTGTGTGTATGTGTGTGTATGTGTGTGTATGTGTGTGTATGTGTGTGTATGTGTGTGTATGTGTGTGTGTGTGTGTGTGTGTGTGTATGTGTGTGTATGTGTGTGTGTGTGTGTGTGTGTGTGGGTGAGGAAGAAATACGCAGGCGAATGCAAAACCATGGGCGGAGAAAGCATGACGCACACGCATCGCAAGTTCCGGGTTCAACCTACTTGTCTTGCCCATCACCTGTCCTACAAAGAAGCCAAGCACGCCCGTTTGGCCTGCAATCACGCGTGCAGAGGCAAACAAACACACAGTTTTGTGTTGGGTAGGCGAGGGACAGAGTGGCAGGAGGTACCAACACACACACACGCGCGCGCGCATACACAAGTGCATGCACACCTGTGGCAGACAACCCACCTTTCAAAAACTTGTTCCGCTGCTTTGGGTTGTTTGCCACGACATCGACCACCAACGCCTGCAGCACAGCAGCATCCGACTCCTGGCGAAGATCAAGTGCTTCCATCAGCTCTGTCGGCGAGCGTCTGTCCCCATCAAGCATTCGCCCCAAAATCTGCAGTCGATCGTGTGTGTGCGTGTGTGTGTGTGTGTGTGTGTGTGTGTGTGTGTGTGTGTGTGTGTGTGTGTGTGTGTGTGTGTGTGTGTGTGTGTGACCGTCACTCTCTGCGTGCGAAGGCGTGTTTACACAGCCTTGCATCTTGTGCCACCGTGCCGTGTCTCCCCTTGCCATGCCCTCACCACCACCACTGTCACCTCCACCACCACCTCCATCACACGCCTGATGCAGATGAAGAATGAGATTGATGGGTGCTGTGGAGAGTACTGCAAGCTCACGCGCAAGCAGCGCATGTATGGCTTTGCGTACTGCTTTGCCATCGGCTGCATCCTCGGTTTGCTGGTGCGTCACCTTGGTCCACATGCTTGTCTCTCCTCAATTGCGTGTGTGCGCACGCGTGTGTGTATGCATGTGCATGGAAGTGGGCGAAGATCGAGGGTGGAACAGCACAGGCTCCCATCCAGTGCCGAATCCATGCTTAACCGCCACCGTCGACGCACATCTGGTGTTGTGGCTACAGGGTACGGCTCTCGTGGCCCTTGGTAACCTGACCGCGTTTGCCATCTGCTATTCCCTCGGCACCATCATGTCTCTCGCGAGGTGTGTACATTGGCGGCATGCGCATGTCCCTCACGTCGCAAGCGAACGTCTGCGTGCATTACACGACACGGCAACAATGATGACAATATTATGTTCCTCTTTGGCGACCGGCACTCATCATGCTCCTGTCCATTTTTGCACATGGTCGCCTGCACACTGTCGGCAGTTCTTTGTTCCTGTGGGGGCCATGGCATCAGATCAAGAACATGTTCAAGGTGCGTGCGCGTGTGTGCGTTGTGCGTGTGTGTGCGTTGTGCGTGTGTATGCGTGTATGCATGTGTTGTGCGTGTGTATGCGTGTGTTGTGCGTGTGTTGTGCGTGTGTGTGTGAGGATCTTCTTCTCCTTGTTTGTTTATACTCATGTCACGCACACGTTTCTTCGACGTCATACACACACACACACACACACACACACACACACACACACACACACACACACACACACACACACACACACACACACACACACACACACACACACGCTCTGTGTTGACACAGGAGACGAGATGGATTGCGACATGCGTGATGCTTGCGTCGATTGCAATGACGCTTGTGTCTGCGATTGTATGGAAGAGCGTTGCGCTCGCCATCATCTTTGCATTCATCCAATTCCTCGCCTTCTTCTGGTACTGCCTCTCCTACATCCCATACGCAAGGTGAGCCATTTGTGTGTGTGTGCATGTTCGTGTGTGCGTATATGCGTGCGTGTGGGTATTGCATTCTTGTCAGATGCTTGTCCAGGTTGGCTCGCAAGGGGTGCACAACTTGAGACCGCGCACACCCCTCTTCCACCAGCGCCGTCATAGCCAAGCACCCACCACTGCCTCTCACGCTGCTGTTATGTCCCGTTTTGTTTCTTTGTCTTCTCTTCCTCGATTCCAAACAGAGCCGTGGCCCGCAACTGTATGGGCTCGTGCATGAATGTGTGAGTGCGTACAGTGCCGCCAAACGGTAGTGGTGATGGTCGTAGTCGTGCAAGCGTGTGTGCGGCTGATCAAACGGCTTGTGTTACGTGTGCGAACGGTGAAGAGGGGGGGGGGGTGGAGGAAAGGCAGGTGCAAGAGAAGTTAAGGGGGCGGGGAAGAGGGGGGGGGGGAGTACAAGAAGCGGATAAAGAGAGATGAGAGCGGTGACGGAGCAGAGTGTGCTCCGAGTACCATATCGCCGAAGCTTCGTGCCTCTTGCGTGCGCGCGTGCGGTGTGAAACGTTGTGTGGGAGTAGACAAGTGTCGTTATCACATGTGCTGTGTTGTGTGCCTGTTGTTGAGTGGGCGGTTCTCTGTCTCTCTCTACTTCAGATGTCGCTTGTTCTCTTTGTTGGTTTGCTTGGAGGTTGAGGGGGGGGGGTTTCAGTTGATTAGCAGTATTGTTTCTACTGTTTGCTTGGACACACACACACACACACACACACACACACACACACACACACACACACACACACACACACACACACACACAC